ATATGATGCCTTCATCTTACCCAATACCTTGCAGTAACACTGGTATCGCCCGACACCTGGTATCACCACTTGCCCACCAAATAGAAGCTGGATGGATGGATCTGTGAATGGTTCTTTTGCCAACAAGTATCTGTGCTCTGCAATTTGGTGGTCCACCATTCTTGCCAAAAGTCAGCTGCGATATGCTCAAGATCACCTATTGAGGACAAGTGCGGTTAAAAAACTGGTCACAAGACTGCACTATCCGGGCCTCGCAGCTCCAAATGAACGCAAAGCATGTGGTTCTCCCCAGTATGCTCAGGTTGGGTGCTGAAAGGGCAAGTTGAGGGTGACGGTGGCCTCCCGGGGCTCGGCCGGCCGCCTGTTGGTCATCTCGCACTCATTCTGCCGGGCATTCTCTTCGTTCATCTGCGACACCTCGGTGGAGGCCGCCTCGAAACCCGGCACGGTGTTGGCCACGTGCACCACGTGGACCTTGTTGCGTCCGTTGTTGCTGAGCAGGCAGCTGAAGACTTTCTTGAAGCCTTTGCGAAAGTGCTTGGAGACCAGCGCATACACGATGGGGTTGACGCAGGAGTTGGCGTAGGCCATGCAGTGCGACAGCAAGCGGAATGCGTAGGTGACCTGGTTGAAGGGGAAGTCGCCGTACAGGTAGCACAGGATGACCACGTGGTAGGGCAGCCAGCAGATGCAGAACAGCACCGTGACGATGATGATCATCTTGGTCACTTTGCGCTTGGCCCGCTTGGACTCGGACATGCCATCCAGGGGGTCCACAGCGGTCCATAGGTACTTGATGGTGCGCGTGTACGACAGGCTGACTATCAGCACGGGGATGACGTAGCCGAACAGGAAGGTGCACGTGTCCAGGAGCTTGCGGTCGTGCTCCTTCCAGCCCGGGATGCAAACGGTGCTGTTGGCGAAGTCGATCAGGTGGTAGTAGCTGAGGTAGGGCCCGGCAAACACCAAGGAGAGGCCCCAGATGGTTACCATGGCGACCACTGCGTTGCACGGCGTCCGTAGCTCTCGGGAGCGCAGCGGGTAGCGGATGGCCAAGTACCTGTCGACAACCTTTTAACGTTAATTCAAAGAACTTCAACTCAATCCTTGTCTTAGCGGCGACGCCGATAACACCTTACCAACTAATATTGGATAACATATTTGTAATCCTGCACCTTATGCAGTTCATAAAGTAACTTGGAATTTAATTTTATTTTCAAAATCAAGTACAGAAATAATATATATATATATATATATATATATATATATATATACACGACTGTGTATAGGGAAGACTGGGGGAAAAAAACCCCAAAACATTTTGGCATTTGTTTGGAGAAATCCCCTTGAAACGAACAAGAACTGAGAGAGGCCGCAGAAAAGACCTGGAAAGGCATTTCAAATGAAGAAATCAACCGGTGAAGTCCCTGGGGTGCCAGCTTGCCGTCGTAGCTCAGGCAGAGCTCCGAAGAAGTCGCATTGGTAAGTCGCATCTCATTTATATTCCACTTTGTTTTTCTTTTTCTACTATGTGGTGTGTTTAATTAGTTCCCTAATTCATTCTGAGCCCACATTGCTTTTTGTATGGTTATTTAATTTACGTTTTGCAGAGTGAACGTTTTTACAGGTCAAGTTGATAGGAATTGCTTGTCTGTCTCACAGTTATGTCCGAGACCCAATGCAACTTCACCTATTCCTCCCGCCATACTGTGTTGCAGACTGCCAATAAAAGAAAAGCCGCAATCCACCGAAATGTCTGGTGTTATTGAGACGACAGCGACGTGGAACTAAAGACCGTCACAAATGGCCCAGCTGCAGGTCTCAAGGCCGAACCTCTCCTTGCTCAAATGGCTTCTGCAGGCTAATGGGCATGTCAAATTTGCAACACACGTCGATCAGTGTGCTGCAAATTGAACTGAGCTGTATTGACCGAGCTGACAAGGCGGGTCGCTTTGCACTGCCCTGGGATGATATTCAATTACGAATCCAGCGTCTCAATGACCTCCGCCTAATCGTCTTCTGTCAACAAAACATCCCACATCCTCCTTCTAATGAAAGTGACAAAGCTGTAATCATCTTTTGATGTTCGGGGGTTGTTTGTTGTCCGCTATTGGAATCTTTAGTTTTGAAATATGTCAACCTAAATTTGATGCTCCGTCATATCGTATGTCAAAAACTCACCATTTTCATCAATGTTAATGTCCTAGGTCCTGAGATGTGCAAAATGTTAGCCAAAACCCTCATTAGGGGGCGCTGTTTTTTTTTTTTTTTTTTAATACTCAAAGTCCTGTGTCGTCTTAGTGAGGCGATGCAGTTCGTATAAAGTGCGGATGATGGTTAAGGCCAAAAATGATGAAAGCACTCGAGTGTTAGGTTCACTAACGCAGCCAGTTGGGAACACGTGAAGTCATTTAAAGCCATTGTATGTTCAACTTGACTCTTTATAATTTGTATATATTTTGAAACGAGTATACTTGTAATACAAGACTTTTAAAAGGTATCTCAGCTGACTCATTCACACCAAGGCAATTTTTTTTTTTTTTTTTTTTTTTTTTTTTTTAGTACTCGTGCATGACAGATTTAAAATAGCAAATTTTTCGTCGGGCCTGATTTGTGTGCGAATTTGGTGAGTTTTTGATCAATTATGATGGAAAATTTGAGTTTAAACTGTGTGATGCAATCTGCGTCTGTAACAATGGCAACCTTGTTTCTTTTCCTGTATTCAGGCTCGTGGGGGCGCTTAGCGCATCGACCTCACGGTGCAGAGGTTTATTTACTAGGTCAGCTACACCCGCACATACGGGATGTCATGAGTGAGGATTTTTTTTTTTAAATGCAGTTTATGAAATACAATAAAATAAATGGACAAAATTATTTCAAATTATTGACACAATATTTCAAATTAACAGTACAAAATCATTATTTTAAACAAATGGTACAAGAAATAAATAAAACATACATCTTACAGAATATTTTTTGTTTTTTATGACTTATGATATATTTTGTGGTTGTTTATGAGGATTGGTCAGAAGACACTGTTCTGTGGTAAGATGTATTTTTTTTTTTTTTTTAAACAACACCCCTACTTTAGCTCGTTATGGAGGCTGCTGCGTTCCAGTTTAACTGGCTCCAAAATTAACACACACACACACACACACACCCACAGCCATGTTGTCAGAGAACACATCACATTTACATGCATGTGTGTTTGATCTCGACATACACACACATTCTCTCCTCTGATTGAAAAAAAAGCAGTTCACTGTCAGTGTTTTCAGCATTTGCTATGCAGCATTGTTTCGTGTTGTGTCGTATATATTCTGCACGACATTATATAAAATGTGTCATCCAGACACAATAGACATGCACCGACTTCTTCATTGATTTCTTATTTTAAAAAATGGATCTGCCTTGAGAGAAGTAACACCGCGAGTGTGCCTTGCATTTATCTGAGACAATACGTTTTGTTTAGTTTTTTTCAGGGTGATGTGGTTAGTATGCTTGGTATGTGCGCTTCACAGTTCTGAGCTTCCTCCGACACTCCCAGAACATGTTTCTTGGGTTCATTGACGGCAAAATAGTCCAGAGGTGAGACTTGTTTGTCTATATGTGCCCTGTGGTTGACTGGCGACCAATCAAGGTTATACCCTGCTTCTCTCACAATCTTTTGGCAAGGGATGTACTAGCAGTACTGATACTGCTAGTACTTCAGATATATCAAATTTCAGTGAGCTTGATTTCTCTCTGACACACATCATGATTTGATGGGTTTTGGGTTTTTTTTTTGCTTTAAGTATCAGAGGCTGGTATATGATGCCTTCATCTTACCCAATACCTTGCAGTAACACTGGTATCGCCCGACACCTGGTATCACCACTTGCCCACCAAATAGAAGCTGGATGGATGGATCTGTGAATGGTTCTTTTGCCAACAAGTATCTGTGCTCTGCAATTTGGTGGTCCACCATTCTTGCCAAAAGTCAGCTGCGATATGCTCAAGATCACCTATTGAGGACAAGTGCGGTTAAAAAACTGGTCACAAGACTGCACTATCCGGGCCTCGCAGCTCCAAATGAACGCAAAGCATGTGGTTCTCCCCAGTATGCTCAGGTTGGGTGCTGAAAGGGCAAGTTGAGGGTGACGGTGGCCTCCCGGGGCTCGGCCGGCCGCCTGTTGGTCATCTCGCACTCATTCTGCCGGGCATTCTCTTCGTTCATCTGCGACACCTCGGTGGAGGCCGCCTCGAAACCCGGCACGGTGTTGGCCACGTGCACCACGTGGACCTTGTTGCGTCCGTTGTTGCTGAGCAGGCAGCTGAAGACTTTCTTGAAGCCTTTGCGAAAGTGCTTGGAGACCAGCGCATACACGATGGGGTTGACGCAGGAGTTGGCGTAGGCCATGCAGTGCGACAGCAAGCGGAATGCGTAGGTGACCTGGTTGAAGGGGAAGTCGCCGTACAGGTAGCACAGGATGACCACGTGGTAGGGCAGCCAGCAGATGCAGAACAGCACCGTGACGATGATGATCATCTTGGTCACTTTGCGCTTGGCCCGCTTGGACTCGGACATGCCATCCAGGGGGTCCACAGCGGTCCATAGGTACTTGATGGTGCGCGTGTACGACAGGCTGACGATCAGCACGGGGATGAC